AAGTGATGTACATAAAGTGCTTACAGCTGTATTTGGCCCCATAAAAACACTCAACACATCTTAGGTCCTTCCTTCCTCCCTCCCTGCCTCCCTCCCTGCCTCCCTTTCTCCCTCCCCTTCCTCCCCTTCCTCCCCTTCCTCCCCTTCCTCCCCTTCCTCCCCTTCCTCCCCTTCCTCCCCCTCCTTTCCCTTCCTTTCCTTCCCTCCCTTCCCGACTTTAGAAAGAGAGGAAGTTGAAGGGAGAGAGAGAAACATCAGTTTGTTGTTCTACTTATTTATGCATTCATTGGTTGATTCTTGTATGTGCCTTGATCGGAGTTTGAAAATGCAACCTTGGTGTATTGGGACGACGCTCTAACCAACTGAGCTACCCAGCCAGGGCCTAGATGTTTTTATTCTTTTTTTTTTTAATCCTCCCCTGAGGACATTTTCTTTTATCTTTATTGTTTAATGTATTACAGATGTTCCTCATTTTCCCCCCATTGATCCCCTTCTCCCCACTCCCGCCCCCCTCCTGCCTTTTCCCACACTGTTGTCTGTGTCCATTGGTTATGCATATAAGTTCTTTGGTTTATTTCTTCCCACCTCCCCAACCCCTTTCCCTTTGAGGTTTGTCAGTCTAACAACCAATTTGTACTTCTTAATCCCTTCACCTTTTTCACCCATTCCCCCAAGACCCCTCCCACCTGGCAACCAACAAAATGTTCTCTGTATCTATGAGAATGTTTCTGTTCTGCTTGGTCATTTTGTTTGTAGATTCCATTGTTGATAGATATGTATTCATTGCCATTTTGTTTGTTCATATATTTTATCTTTTCCTTCAAGAAGACCCTTCAGCATTTCATATAATAATGGTTTGGTGGTGATGAACTCCTTTAGCTTTTTCTTGTTTGGGAAACTCTTTATATGGCCATTGATTCTAAATGTCAGCTTTGCAGGACAGAGTAATCTTGGTTGTAGGTTCTTGCTTTTCATCACTCTGAATATTTCTTGCCACTCCTTTCTGGCCTGCAAAGTTTCTTTGGAGAAATCAGCTGACAGTCTTATGGAAACTTTTAACTGCTTTTTTCTTACTGCTTTTAAGATTCTCTCTTTGTCTTGAACCTTTTGCATTTTGATGATGATGTGTCTTGGTGTGGGCCTCTTGGGGTTCATCTTGTTTGGAACTCTCTGTGCTTCCTGGACTTGTATGTCTGTTTCCTTCACCAAGTTAGGGAAGTTTTCTGCCATTATTGTTTCAAACAGGTTTTTGATTTCTTGTTCTTGCTCTTCTCCTTCTGGCACCCCCAAGATGCGAATGTTGGCACGCTTGAATTTGTCCCAGAGGCTCCTTACACTATCCTCATTTTTTTTACTCTTTTTTCTTTTTGCTGTTCTGATTGGGTGTTTTTTGCTTCCTTATATTCCAAATCGATGGTTTGCTTCTTCGCTTTACCTACTCTACTATTGAATCTATGTAAATTATTCTTTTTTTTTTTTTTATCCTCACCCGAGGACATTTTTCCACCTTTTGTACAGATAGAGTAGGAGGGAGAGAGAGGAAGAGAGAGAGAGGGAAACATCGATGCGAAAGGGATACACTGAGTGGCTGCCACCCCGCACAACCGACCAGGGCCGGGGACAAACTGCAACCGAGGTACATGCCCTTAGCGGGAACCGAACCCGGGTCTCTCCGGACCTCAGGCGGACGCTCTAACCGCTGAGTCAAACCGGCCAGGGCAAATCTGTGTAAATTATTCTTTATTTCAGTTAGTGCCTCCTTCATTTCTGACTGATCCTTTTTTTATGCTCTTGAGGCCCTCACTAAGTTCATTAAGCAGTGTTTTGAACTCAGCATCTGTTAGGTTGCTTATCTCCATTTCGCGCGTAGTTCTTTTCCTGGGGTTTTGTTCTGTTCTTTGATTTGGGACCTGTTTCTTTGTCTCCTCATTTTGGCTGCCTCCCTGTATTTGTTTCTATGTATTACTTAACAAGAGATATGGGGCTAGCTGAGACCAGATGCTGCTTGTTTGAAAGAATTTAGAAAACCTGAAGCGGGATCCAAGATAGGCCAATCCTATGGTCAAGCAACTGGCAACAGCTTGGGTGGGCCTGAAAGTTGGGTGGGGTGGGGTCTCAGGGAATCATCAGGGTGGGGCAACAGTGTGAGCCAGGTTGCTGGAGTCCCAGGTATGGTGGCTGTCTGCCGCCCCAGGGAAGGGCTCACCAAAGGAGCAAAGGCCACTGACGGCACATTTGTGCCGGAGAAAGCCCCCTCTCCAGCCCTCGCTCCAGTGTCAAACAGCTCAGTTCTTCCCTGTATGTCTCTGGTGCCCCTCCAGCTGCCTCCCCTCCAAGCTTAGAGGGAGAGAGTCCGATAAGTCCGTGCGCGGGCCCTTTAAGGAGCTGCCTGGGGCTTCAGCCGCCTCAGCCTCCATGAGCCTCAGTTCCCGCTGGTTTTTCCAGCCAGAAGTTATGGGGACTCTCTTCCTGGCACTGGAACCCTGAGCTGGGTGCCTGGTGTGGGACGGGGACCCCTCAGTCCTCAGGAAGGACCTTCCCAGCCGAGGTGTCCTCCTGATTTTTATCCGCCACACGTGGGTGTGGGACCAGCCCCTGGCGCCTCCGCCCCTCCTACAGTCTGGATGTGGCTGCTGCTTTAATTCCGTAGTTGTAGGACTTCCATTCAGCTTGATTTCAGGTGGTTTGAATGATGGTTGTTCTGTAGTTTAGTTGTAACTTTGATGTGGTCGTGGGAGGACGCGATACCGGTTACCTACCCGCCATCTTGACCGGAAGTCCCCTAGATGTTTTTATTCTTAAAGGTCTTTATGGAGCGGGGTAGCGGAGTTTTCTGAAATGCTCTGTCATGTGACCTGCATTGGTGTATCATCCCTGAAAGACAGCGTTTGGGGCTGAGGGTAATGACCCATGAAGATTTTTAGGTAGGCCTCCGTGGAGACGTCCTCTCTCTTGAGTTCTGGGGAGAGCTGAGCTAGTCCGTGATGTGTGACGGTTTCTCCTGGGTGGCCTTAGACGTGCTGCACGGGGAATCCGCCTTCCTCAAAGCCTTCGTGGACCTTATCGAGAAAAGGGAAACGTGGGCCTGGTCCTCTGGGCTCCCCTGGCACGCACCTGTGGACATCGTGGTGTCTGATTGCCTTTTATTTTATTTTATTTTTTATCCTCACCCGAGGATATTTTTCCATTTTTTGTACAGATAGAGTGGGAGGGAGAGAGAGGGAGAGAGAGAAACATCGACATGAAGGGACACATCGAGTGGCTGCCACCTGCACGACCAACCAGGGCCGGGGACAAACTGCAACCGAGGTACATGCCCTTAGCAGGAACCGAACCCGGGTCTCTCCAGGCCGCAGGCCGACTCTCTAACCGCTGAGCCAAACTGGCCAGGGCCTGATTGCCTTTTAAAATCTCAGCAGCCTCCAGCCGGTGTGGCTCAGTGGCTGAGCATTGATTCATGCATCCAGAGGGCACCAGTTCGATTCCCGGTCAGGGCACATGCCCAGGTTGTGGGCCAAATCCTCAGTGGGGGGCATGCAGGAGGTGGCCAGTCAACGTTCTCTCTCATCAATGTTTCTATCTCTCTCTTCCTCTCTCTCTAAAATCAGTAAAGAAAAAAAAATTAAAATCTCAGCAGCTCACGCAGTGTCTGCAGGCTGCAGTGAACTCATATGGGGAAGCACTTGTGAACAGGCAAGCTCCCAGCGTCCACGGGAGATGGTTAGAGTCATTCCCTAGCAGGGTGGGTGCTGTGGGGGGCACTGGATGGGTTCTTCAGGGAAAGGAGGGCTATGGAAGAGGGCAGAAGGGTTATAGGCTTCTCTGTGGGAGGTGAATAAAAGCCTTCTCTGACTGTGCTGATTAGACTGCCCTTGGAAAATTAGCACCATCTATTCATCCGAACATCCACTGTTTATTCATCCAACACATCTTTACTGAGTGGTGGTGATGCTGGGCTCCGCGCTGAGCCCGGGGATCTGTCGTGACGCTGCCTGCGAGGAACCGGCCGTCCATTGAGGAGTAGAAAGTGGACAGTTAGGCATGCGGGGCGGGGACTGGAGGTCTGCCGAAGGTGCAGACTGTGTCCGAGGGGAGCCTTCCCAGAGCCAGGGACAACCAAGGAGCTGGCTTGTGAGTCAGACGGGTGAGTGGGAGTCTTCCAGGGAGATGGGAGAGAAGGGAATCCTAGCAGAAGGACCCACGCTGCAGAGGGCAAAAGGGCGATGCCAACAAACAAAGCTCAGAGCACAGTGCCTTTGGGGAGCCCTGCCCTGCCCTGTGTGTGGGGCTGTGGGCCCAGAGGGGTGAGCAGCCGGATGCAGGAGTGGCAGGCTGCTCCCTGCTCCCCAGGCCTCGAGCATTCCCCACTGGGTTCCCTCTGGGCCGAGCCCCAGCAGTCCCTCATCTTCTTGTGCTCATTACCTTTCTTTTTTTTTTTAATCCTCACCTGAGGATATTTTTCCATTTATCTTCAGATAGAGTGGGAGGGAGGGACAGAGAAACGTTGATGTGAGAGAGACACACCGATTGGCTGTCTCCCGCATGACCCAGACCAGGGCGGGGATGAAGCGCAACTGAGGTGCCTTTGACAGAATTGAACCTGCTGGTCCCTGGGCCACCGCTCTAACCACTGAGCAAACCAGCCAGGGCTGCTCACTGCCTTTTCATTCCTGTTTTCCTCTAGTCTGGAGTCAGGAGTAAGGGCGGAGAGGAGGGAGAGGAACCTCTCCGAGCCTCGGATTCCTTATCCACACACCGGACAGTTGGATTAGGTGATCTCGAAGGTCTCCAGGGCTTCCTAGGATTTGCGTGATTGTCCAGGTTTTGTTTGGATATTTCTCGGAGGGGCCTTGGAAACATCCCAGACACTGCCTGGGCCTTGTTGGCAGAGGGCTGGGGACAGGAGCCGGTGAGTGGTAATAGAGACGGGGTGCCTGTGGCAGTGCTGACGGGGGACAGAGCCCCACTGACCCCCCTGCTTGTCTGTGCTTCTCCCTCAGTGTGACCCTGGGAACACAGGCTACATCAGCACAGGCAAGTTCCGCAGCCTCCTGGAGAGCCACAGCTCCAAGCTGGACCCGCACAAAAGGGAGGTGCTCCTGGCTCTGGCTGACAGCCATGCGGATGGGCAGATCTGCTACCAGGATTTTGCCAACCTGGTGAGCGCTCTGGGGCCCTTGCCACTGGGAGGGGCCTGTCTCGGGTTGTGGCTGAGAGGACCCTTTTGAACAATTAAAGGGATCTGTTGGCCCACAGCTCTGAAAAAGTCTAGGCTTCAGCAGGAGATCACCTAGGACCCAGTTTCTCTTTGTCTCTCAGTTCTGCTGTCAACCCATCTTCTGAGAAGCCCCTGGCAATTCCAGACCCTCCCACTGTGGCAGCAAAGTGGCTGCAGCTGCTCCAGCCCTCACACCCTCAGGCCTCACCATGCCGGGGAAGAGAGGGACTCTTCTTGTGGTAGCTCCCACACAAGGGATTTCCTCCCTTCCATTGGCCCAGATTGGGTCCATTGGGATGTGTTGATTGATTCAAACCAAGCAGTGCCCACCTCTGGAGCTAGACGTGGGGTCAGTTCCACCAAAACAAAGGGCTGAGAGTGGGAGGTGGGAGGTTATTGTTGGCAGGAGAGGAACTGGGGAGTAGATGTTGGGAGGGTCAAGCCACACTTCAGGAGCAATGGGGCACATGAGCCCATAAAACCGACTGGCGGGCATCCTGGGTGCTTGGAGGGACTGGAGACAAAAAGTCCGTGAATCCTGCCCACTGCTCTGGTGCCTCAGAGTAGGGACTTCCTCCTCACTAGGGGTTCCTGCTATGTTATTACTGGGGTGAGATTGGAATGGGGTTCAGTGGGGCTAAGGAGGAAGCATTTTATCTGCCATGGGAAGGCTGGGCTATCCGTGGAAGCTACGTGAACTAACAGGATGAATACAAGCTGGAGTCTGACCTTGGTTTTCCTACTGAAATGGAGACAGTCACCTCTTCTTGTCGCCCGTGGAGGGGGCGAGAGTGCAGTGACTCCCTGTGTCAGTGACGGGGGAGCCAGTGCCGCTCATACCTGTCCCTGTGCCAGGGGAGCTCTCCCATGTGGATGCCCAGACGTCGGACTTGTCTTCATTGCCTCTTGGCTGAGGACCTGCCCGCCAGAGACTAACATGAGTGCAGGGAGCAGCACTGCGGCTTCAGGGCGTTAGGCTTCTGCTGCTCTTCGGAGTGGTCCCAGGGAGCAAACCTTCTAGAGGGCAAGGGACAGAGCTGAGCTATTGGTGGGGGGCAGTCAGGACTCATGGGACAGGCCGTGGGGGTGAGCCTGGTCACTCGGAGCCCAGCAGTGCCTCGGGTTTGAGCCTCCAGGGCTCATCCACAGCCCCAGCACAAGCCTGCTTGCTGCATACCCTGCCCAGTCCCAGGGCAGCGTGAGGGCATGGCTGGGCCCAGGAGATGCTTCTCTCCAGCAAGGGGTCCGTGGGGTCCTCTTTGTGAACTCGCAACAGCAGGCTACCTGTCAGTGTTGGGATTCCTGTACGTTCTGAGCTGGAGCGGCCAGCTGGAGCGTGGATGCATGGGAGCTGGGTCACCAGCGGGGAAGCTCTGGGTGGGGCAGAGAGCTCAGGGCTTGGAGTCAGGCAGACCCTGGTTCCTCTCTTGGCTCTGCCTTTGCCGCTCATTGGGAAAGGTCCTCCAAGCCTGGGTGTTCCCATTTGTAAAACGAAGCCAAAGGATAACCTCTTGGGGTTTGTTGCAAGGATTCAACAAGATGAAGTATGTGAAAGATTTTGTTGTCTGTAATGTTCCTCCAACAGGTAAACTCTGCATCCTTTGTGAGCCCTTCCTTACCCTAACCCGGGCAGGATGAACCAGCCTTATTCAGAACCCCCGCAGTGCTTTGCCGGGCCTCTATTGATGGATTGATTTTAGAGAGAAATCGAGAGAGAGAGGGAGAGAGAGAAACGTCGACCTGTTGTTCCACCCATTTACGCATTCACTGGTTGAGTCTCATATGTGCCTTGACAGGGGATCGAACCTGCAACCTTGGTGTATGGGGGACATGCTCCAACCAATTAACCTACCTGGTCAGGGCCCCAGGCTGCTCTTAGAGCACAGACCATGTTACACTACAGCTGAGTGGCCAGGTTGTCGTGTGTGGGTGTGCAGGTTGTGTATTGTACAAGGACACCTGGCAGAGGGATGGATGGGGACTGATATCTGGTATGGTCTTTGCTCACCAAGGCCTGGAATGGTGCATCCACCTAATCTCCTTGGCACGAACGTGCCAGTTACATGGATTCCAGAGTCAGGCAGATCTGGATTTGAATCCTGACTCTGACTTGCTAACTATGAGCCCTTGAGAAATTACCCTTCCCAAGCTCTGGTCCTCACCTTCATAATGTGGGGATAGCCCTATGCACCAGATAACTAAGATGACACCCTCTTTTGCTGCTGTTTACACATCTGTCTCTCCTTATAAGCTCCGTGAGGCCCAAGACCCTGGTCACTACTGCGCCCAACACAGTTCTAGACACCTCAAGGGTGCAGGGAATGGTGAGTATGTGTGTGCTCACCGTGCTTCTCCCGAACTCACGCCGAGCCGCCCCACCACGGGTCTTCAGGGTGTGGCGTGGGTGTGTCTGTGAGTGTGTGCGCACTTGGAGACTGGGAGAGAGGATGGTAAGTGTGGCTACAAGATACTTCATGCTGTGACCCTGTTTTGGGCTTACGGGGTACAGGGAGCCCCAAGCTCTGCCTGCGTTTACAAACTCCTGAGCCACAGAGAACCAGACCCAAGCTTTGTAGGCGTGGAGGGGATGAGAATAGGGGATCTTTGCAAGGGGTTCCTCTGGGAAGGCCTGTTGGGGCTTTAAGCCAGATTTTAAGGGTGAGAGACACCAGACCCAGGAAGGGGAAGGGCACTGCAGAGGGAGGCTCATTCCACTGGTCTGAATGCAGGTCCTCCCCAGCTGCCTTCCCCCTGGTGGGGCTCCCAACCCCTGTGCCATGGTCTGGCCTGGTTCACCTGGGCAGCCCGCTCTGGACTCCTGCCTCCTGATTTAGCCTGATGTCCACTGCTGGGCCCACAGTCCCAGGGATATGTTGATAATCCCCACCCCAGCTACTGTGGAACAGCCACCCAGGCAGTACTGTGGGCTCTGGGGTTGGGAGGACTACGTCTCTAGGACATCTCCCCATAATCAAGGTCCAGAATGTGGTCGTGGAGGACCGGTGGGAGGTGACAGAGGGCTCAGGAGGCTGGAAGTCGGCAAGGCTGCCTCTGATCTCTGGGAGCCAGGCTGACTGCTGGATGAGGTAGTCAGGGCTCTGCTGTGTCAGCCTGAGGCTGCCAAGGGTAGGGTCAGTCCTTAGGTGGGCTCCATGACCAGTCCCTGGGCTCACCAAGCATTCTGGTTCCCTTGAAGGCACTCGAGTGATGGCCTTCCGCAGGCACGGCTTTGGGTTCTGGTTCTGGTTCTGGGGAAGTCAGCGAGGGCTGCCCACCTCTTCCCAAACTAGTGGTTATGAGGATGCTAAGTCCGGCTCATCCTTCGGTTCTCACTCAGATATCACCTCCTCCAGGAAGCGCTCCCTGACTACCTCAAGACCATGTTGGGCTCTCTCCTGTGTGCTCCTGCAGCAACCTTGACTCTGAACCGTGACTGCTGGTTATTTACCTGTCTCGAGCACCACTGTATCCCCTAACACTTAGCAGTTGCTCAGGAAATTGTGATGGATGGATGAGAGATGGGTGAATGGAAGGAAGGTATAGTGAATGTATGAACACAGGCTCAGGAGCTTTACTGGGTTTGGACTTGATGGGTTTTTAAAACTCTGTGCTTTGGTTTCCACATCTAGGAGAATGGGGGTATTCACCGTCCGCATGTAACAGGTAGACTGGTTGTATCAGATGAACCAACATGTGAAGTGCTTAGAACGACCCCTGAAACACGTTTTTGCACCTTGTGAATTATCGTAGATGAATGAGAAAGGTGGGGTTAGGCCTGGTTAGTCTAAGGATGGTGCTGGCTGGGAAATGGGTCGGGGTCCCCGGACCCTAGGTTCTGACCCCGTCCCCCACCCTGTCTCCTGTGCAGATGAGCAACAAGCGGTCCAACAGCTTCCGCCAGGCCATCCTGCAGGGGAACCGCAGGCTCTGCAGCAAGGCCCTTCTGGAGGAGAAAGGGCTGAACCTCTCCCAGAGGCTGATCCGCCACGTGGCCTACGAGACGCTGCCCCGGGAGATTGACCGGAAGTGGTACTACGACAGTTACACCTGCTGCCCCCCGCCCTGGTTCATGATCACGGTCACGCTGCTGGAGGCAAGGACAAGGGTGGGGAAGGGGCTGCTCAGCCTGGGCAGAGCTGGGGCCACGACGGTGTCCGAGACGAGGGGAAGGGCGGCACCTTCCCCAGCAAAGGCGGTGGTTTCGGAGCCCATAGCGGTTGTCACTGCAAGTCGGCCATTACAGGGCTGGTGGTGGTGTCATACTTCCTGGGCCCCAAAGACACGCCAGAGATTATCACTCCAAGTGATGTTCACTGCAGCAAAACCCCCAATGACCACCCCACTGAAACGAGCAATAAAAACAATGTAACACGTTCACTGATCTGGCGGAGTGAGTCAGGCTAACTCATTACAACCAATTTAGTGGCTCCCCGAGGGAGTAATGGGGACAAGTCATCCGCTCCCCCGGGACACCGTCCTCCGCCTGTGAAGAAGGAATGAGCAGGCCTGCCTCCCCCTGTAGGCCTCCTCTCCAGCCAGGAGGAGGAACACAAAAGCCCACACACTTACGCATGGGAGGGAGTGTTTATGAACAGGTACATGTGGGCTTAACATATTTTGAAAGAACAGTCTTCTCTTAGGGAATCATTCAGACCCATTGTTATTCTGAAAGTCTCCTGCTTGCGTATACAACAGACTCCAAAGGAGCCCCTTTCTGAATCTGCCTGTGTGTGAGGAACTCTGAATTCTGTCGGCTGTTCCACCCAAGAACCCGTGCTCCCCCCCCACCCTGAACCCCAGCTCCCGAATGGATGCTTGGCCTCCCTTTGGCATTTTATAATCTCCACCATTTCTCTTCCAGAGCCACGGGCCTAATTACCACCCCTGCATATGTTCCTGTAAAGTTGCTAATCAAACGGCAGAATCGTTAAGCTCCGAGCATTCTCCTCCTCTTTTCCTAAACGAGAATAGCTGGTGTGCAGGCCAGAGCGCCTCTGTTGTTAAGGCTTCGTCCGAGTACGCGTGGATCGCGATTTTTCTGAGATATTTTTGGACTCCTTCTCCCAAAGCTTGCTATGTTGTTCTATTTATTAACTTCTATTTGAGGACCAATAATAACGAGCTGCCTTGGAAGCTGTATTTGTTGCCAGGCCACCCGCATCCTGTTAGGTGGACAGAACGGCTCCCCAGAGAGCCCAGGAGAGTCCAGCTGCCGGGGGACCTGGAGTCTTAACTCGACACTAATTACAGCTGGCTTCACGAATTGCATGCCAGGCACCCAGCGGGTCTTCGTGTATTTTCTCTCTTTCAAGCCTCATGACCCCCCTGAAAGTGCAGGCATTCATACCCCCATTCCAGATCAGGAAATCGAGAACGAGGGAATTCACAGAATCTGTCCAAGTTTGTCCAGAGAAGCCAGATTTTGTGTCCAGATTGGTTCCAAATTTCCATAAACTTCAGCTATGTAGACTCAAACCGCCAATCTAGAAGAAAATGTTGAAGTCGTTGTTTCAAAGTCCTTACAAAAGCCTAAGGCTTTTGTTTTACACAGTTCTGGAAACCTGGTTTTCTGACTTCATAACAGGGAGAGAATGGAAGGGACCCAGCAGTAAGATGTAAGATGTAAGAACCTGGCTGTGGCAACTGGTCACCAGGCAGTCCGGGAGAGGACAAATCAAATTTTAAAAGTAGACTTGAGCGCTGGCTGGTTTGACTCAGTGGTTAGAGCTTCGACCTGCGGACCAGGGAGTCCCGGGTTCGGTTCCCACTAAGGGCACGTCCTTGGTTGCAGTTTGTCCCCCGCCTGGTTGGGGTTGTGTGGTTGGCAACCATTCGATGTGTCTCTCTCCTGTCGATGTTTCTCTCTCTCTTTCTTTCTCTCTCTCTCTCTCTCTCTCTCTCTCTCTCTCTCCCCCTCCCACTCTATCTAAAGATAAATGCAAAAAAAAAAAAAAATGTCCTGGGCTGAGGATTAAAAAAAAAGTAGACCAGAGTCTCGCCCTGGCCTGTTTGGCTCAGTGGTAGAGCGTTGGCTTATGGACCAAGGAGTCTTAGGTTCAATTCAGGCCAAGGGCACGTACTTTGGTTGCAGTTGCGGTTTGACCTTGGTTGGGGTCGTGTGGGAGGCAGCCAGTCTATATGTCCCTCTCACATCGATGTTTCTCTCACTCTCTCTTTCTCTTTGTCTCTCTCCCTCTCACTCTATCTGAAGATAAATAGAAAAAAATATATATGTTCTTGGGTGAGGATTAAAAAAAAGTAGACCCGAGCCTTAAAGAAACTCAAGAATGGCCCTGGCCAGTTTGGCTCAGCGGTTGGAGCGTCAGCCCTAAGAGTCTCGGGTTCAATTCCGGTCAAGGGCCTCGGTTGTGGTTCAGTTCCCAGCCCTGGTCAGGGTCGTGCAGGAGGCAACCAATTGATACGTCTTTCTCACATCGATGTTTCTCTCTCTCTCTCTCCTTCCATTCCATCTGAAGATAAACGGAAAAATATCCTCGGGAGAGGATTAAAAAAAAAAAAAGAAATAACACATGAATTTGGAGCCACTTAGTATAAGAGGGAAACCCCATCAATTGCTGGAGAAGACATCACTCCTGTAGCCCAGATCAGTACCTGAGGCACCCCTAAAAATTATGCCCCTACCCTGTTTAAGAACACAGAGACAGGAAGGATGCATTTTAGAAAGAGTTCCAGAAACAAATACCCTTTTAGGGCTTACGTAAGAATGCTTCAGTCATTTGCAAAGTCTGCCTGTGTGGGGTGTTGGTGGCAGAGAAATGGGGACCCTGGTGCACTGCTGGAAGAAGAAAAAAAGGGTGCAGCCTCTGTGGAGAATAGCTTGGCCGTTACTCAGAGAATTAAACACAGAATTACCGCATGCTCGCTCCAGCAATTCCACTTCTGTGTATATACCCCAAATGATTGAAAGCAGGGACGCAAGGAGATATTTGTACACCCATGTTCATAACAGCATTATTCATAATAGTTAAAATGTGGAAGCAGCCCAAGTACTCATCAACAGAAGAATGATAAGCAAAATGTGGTTTATACGTACAATGGAACATTTTTCGTCCTTGAAAAAGGAAGGACGTTTTGGCCTAATCCACAGCATGGATGAACCTTGAGGACGTTATGCTCAGTGACATAAGCCAGTTGAGGTACCTAGAGTAGCCATATTCACAGAGACAGGAAGAATAATAGTGGTTGCCAGAAACTGGTGGAGGGGGAATAGGGGACTGATGTGTAATGGCTACAGTTTCAGCTTTGCAAGTTGAAAAGAATTCTGTGGCCCTGGCCAGTTTAGCTCAGCGGTTGAGCATTGGCCTGCAAGCCAGAGAGTCCTGGGTTCGGTTCCCGCTAGGGGCACATACCACAAAAAAAAAAAAAAAAAAAAAAAGACTTCTGTGGGTGGATGGTGGTGATGGTGGCCTCATAGTTTAAATGCACTTAATGCTACTGAGCTTTATACTTAAAATAGATTTCACTGGTAAGTTATATGTTATATGTATTTTACCATAATTTAAAAGAATGAAACTTATATTGACTTGCCTTATCCCCCAAATGGATATGTGAATTATTATTGGAATTCAAGTATAAGATCCTTCAAATCCTTGTGGGTAGAGATCAGGTGACTGTGTTGTGAATATCTAACACAAAATAATCCAACAGAAGTAGGGTAAGAGATGGTGGAGGGCTGGGCTGAGCGCTGGCCATAGGGGTGTCTGAGAAGAAAAGATGACAACTTCCAGGGAGGATTCTGAATGTTCGCACAAGGGGGGCTCCTGGGCAGGTTTGCACTTAGTAATAGGCCCTCTCCACCCTGTGCTTCCATCCAGGTTGCCTTTTTCCTCTACAATGGAGTGTCGCTGGATCAATTTGTGCTGCAGGTAACCCATCCGCGGTACCTGCAGAACTCACTGGTTTACCACCCGCGGCTCCGAGCACAGGCGTGGCGTTACTTGACGTACATCTTCATGCATGCGGGGTAAGTGCCCGTCAGCTTCTGCTCTATCAGGAGTCCCTGTGGAAAAATAAGTGGCCCAGATAGCCTGGCTTGAAATCCATTTTTTTAGTTTATCTCCCTGGAGGACACAGAATTTGAGGTGGCTTCTTGAAACACATCTAATACCAAACTATATGAGTTATTGAGAGTGTATGAGAAAGGGAAATAGAAGGAGGAAAATGCTCAAATCCCACTGTGAAACCAGCACAATCATCCATAGCATGTGAGTTATGTACTTACTAGATGTAGGTTATAAATTTCTTCTGAGCTTCCTAGTGGCCAAAGCAAAGAGGTCAGCTACCAAGTTCATTGTCCATAAACTGTGTGTGTGAGTGCCCCCATCAGTGAAATAAAGGGCAGATGTATTGAACCTGCCTTCCTTCCAAAGTGCTCTCCATAAATGGTAAGAGTCCTTTTGAGGAATTTTGGCAATACTTACACTTCTGTTTCCAGAGCCATGTGGCTTCGTTTAAGGCTGGAGTGCCATCAGTTCTCACTGGTGCCTCTTACCCCATGATAAGGCCAGGTGACTACCCATGTCCAATTTCCCTGAGGAGCACTCTCTGGGCTGGAGACCATTTTTACGTGGTAGAGTGCTGAGTTGGAAAAGCGGAGTCCCTGGACACCAGACCTCTATGGTGCCTCTTTCAGGAGAGAAGCAAAGGAGCTCACTGTTAGCCTAGGAAAGCCCTGGGGTTAGAATTGGGAAGAGGATCACTCTGGCCTTATCAGTCTTGTTCCTTGGCAGAGAGACCTACAGTGGCCAAGGGGGAGCCCCACTGTGGGCCCCCCTTCCTGCTGAGCCTCTAATGTTGCACAAACACCGACCCCTAATTGGCTGTACCTGCTGGGGAGGGGTTGGGGTAAGAAGACGGTCTGATGGTTGCTGACGGATGTCTCCACTCTGAGCCAGAGTTGCACAGGCTGTTTGCCTTGCCTGCTGTGTCCCAGGCTTTGATCTTGCAAAGCTAAGGAGCAGAGTGAGGGAGGCAGGCCGTGTCTTCTCACGAGTCAAGATTTGGAGACAACAGGAACCAGGGGCTTCCCTGGCCGGGCTGCCCAAGGTTTGGGACTACCTGCCTTATTTGCAGGGCTGCACTCTGGCTTCCCTGACCCTTTGGGATAAGGAAGGAGAGTGGACATTGTTTCCAAAGCCTCCTTGTCCATTCTCTGCCTTCAAGAGCTGAAGGGCCAGAGTGGCCAGAGCACAGATGCTCTCAACTGAAACCATAGCGTGGCCTCGGGCCTTTCTCTGGCCATTGCTTCTGATGGAGCTATGCTTGCCAGGGAGAGTCCTGGGAGGATTCTCCAGGGCTGTGACTTTGAGGGGGAGATTTTTGGCTGGTGCCACAGTAGACCGGAGAAAGGGACAGCTGACCAGCATCTAGGGAAAGCCCAGCAGGGTGACGTATTACTACTCAGGGAACACTCTGGACTGGTGAATTCAGAAGTTACTGTGGTAGAGAAGAAGGAGGTTAGACTGGGAGGCAGGGGCTCTGGATTTCCCTCCCCTGGCCTCTTCTAGTCTCAGGTTCTAGGCTGTCAACCAAAGAAAAGGGACCAGCAAACCTCGGAGGTCTCTCTACCTATGAGTCTGATGCTACTACACAGCTCTTTTTCAGTACACTTTTCTGACGTTTCTAATCGAGAATCATTTGGCTGGCACAGTCAGGGAGTGGGGATGGGGGTGCTAGAAGATTCCAGGCATGGTGGGAGTTCAGGACAGAGCCCGATCTGAGACGTGAACCACCTCCCAGGCGCCCTCCTGGGTAAGCAGGTACCCACGTGCCCTGTGTGTAGGGAGCAGTTGGCCTCCAGGCCGAGCCCTGCAGACCAGGCCAGCATCCAGACCCCCTTGTTACAGGCTTTGTTACCCTATTACTTAAGCATCCCCAGGGAGCTGTCCAGCTGCTGTGGCTCAGTTTATATGAGATAATGGATGTTAAAGTGCTTTGTAAACTTGAAAGCACACATCAGTGTAATAATAGTAACGTTACGATGTTTTCTAGTAACATATGCACTCAGCCAGACACCATTTAGCAACAAGATCCAGCCCTGGCCGGTTTGGCTCAGCGGTTAGAGCGTTGGCCTGCGGTCCGGAGAGACCCGGGTTCGGTTCCCGCTAAGGGCACGTACCTTGGTTGCAGTTTGTCCCCGGCCCTGGTTGGGTCGTGTGGGTGGCAACCACTCGATGTGTCGCTTTCACGTCGATGTTTCTCTCTCTCTCCCTCTCACTCTATCTGAACAAAATATCGAAAAATGTCCTCGGGTGAGGAGAAAAAAAAAAACGAAAAAAAAAAAGATCTGGTCACATGATAGCGTAAAAAGGAAGGCATTCTCAGGGCAAGAAAACCCAACCTGAGTGTTTTGGGTAGAATGGGCCCCTTTCACACCAGGAGGGAGAAGCCTCCCCTTTGAGATTTTAAGTGATAACTGAATTGTTAAGCTGTAAGAGGTATCTCTAATGCTGCACTTGTTTTAAAAACATCTTTCTCTTTAAATATCCATAGCTCTTACAAATACAGTAGCAAGCCAGAGTGCCCTGGTGACCTGGTGAATGGAGCAAAGGCCTGCACATCAGAGACCTGGGATGTGGTACCAGCCTGGCCACTAACCAGCTGTGTGACTCTAAGCTAGTCAATGCCCCTCTCTGAGCCTTGGCTTTTCATGTGTCAGCCAGTGGAGTTGTTGGGTCTTGACCACAGTTAACCCCTCTCACTATGAGAAGTGCAGACACGGCCAGGTACCACCCTGCATGTGTTCATGTCTCAGGTGGTGGGATGACCTGTCTCTTTAATCATTCCTGCCCCCCTTCCCAGACCACGGGCTCCTCGAAGGCAGGGAGAGGGTCTCGTTCACTGCCGGCTTCCCAGCACCTTGGCATACGGTGTTTGTTGAATAAAAGAATGGATGAATGGATGAATGAACAGAGCGTGGTCTCTCTATACAGGATAGAACACCTGGGACTCAACGTGGTGCTGCAGCTCCTGGTGGGGGTGCCCTTGGAGATGGTGCATGGAGCTACCCGCATTGGGCTTGTCTACGTGGCCGGTGTTGTGGCAGGTAGGCAGGTGGGCCCTCTGTCTATAGCAGACACCTCCCAGGGCGACTTGGAGTCCCTATGGGCTCAGCAAGCCCCAGGCCTTCAGGGAACCCAGGACCCTCATCACCAAAGCTACTGATGACTAGGGTTGTTCTCCAGGCAAATGTTCCCACCTCCCTGGGGAGGCTGGAAAACGGACGGCCACCTGGAGAGGCGAGCTCAGGATTTGGAACAGGCAGACTGACCAGACTTTCAGTCTTATACCACCACGTTGTAGCTGTGTGAGCTTGGGAAAATGCCCTCACCTGTCTTGGCTCCATTAAACATTAAGAGGGAACTAATAAGACCTGCCTGCAGGGCCTTAGGATGGTGGAATGAGGCAGCAAATGGAGTGACCGTGTTATATAAACTGTGCAAGGTGTGGGTGAAGCCAGGTACCTCCCTGGCCAGGCCAGTACCTGTCCCCAAAGGGAGACCTTGCCTCTGTCCAGCTGGCTACTGTCCCCTTGATGGACTCACTGCTGACGGGAGAGAGTCTGGCCTAAAAGGGTAGTAAGCATTTGTGCCAGTGCCAGCCGGTGGAGCCTGGGCCCCTGCTGACTCAGCTCACATGGCCGGTGATCATGGCCTTGAGCACAGGGGCAGCCCGACTTCCCCCTTCCCCTCCCCAGTGGGAGAGAGGCAGGCTGGGGTGAGACGAGGAGACCAGAGCGGATTCGTGCAGGAAAAGTGCACCAGCCTGGCTGCCGAACGGAAGAATCTCCGTCTCCAACTTTATCACCAGATTATTTTTTAAACAAGGTTTGCCACCTCAGCTCTTCACCTTGACAGCTGTGCCCAAGGGAGCTTTGTGTGTATGTTTAAGTAAGATCTTAATCCTTTCTGAGTAGCATTGAACTTGTCATCAGGAGAGTGGGGCACTGTCAGCCTTGTAAACAACAGGCAGGCAGGGACCCTGGGAACAAATGAAGTGGCTTCAGGAATGGAAAGGGGGAGGGTCGCACCCCCGCCACACAGGGCTAGTCTGCTGGTCTGTGAACCCTCAGCCCATATTGGTTCAGTGCCGTCTCCTTCCCTCCTCTGTGTGCCGAGGTTAAAACTTGTGCACCTTGGACAGCGCCCACGCCAGCTTGTCCCAGAATCCAGCACCTTCCACATCCTTGAACAAAGGTCTAATGAGCATCTCGAGATGTGTGCCAGACTTACTCAGCCACCCACACATCCCGAGTCTTGACATCTGGGGATTTATAGCCACATTTCCCTACCTAGATACTCGGAGACCCAGATGGTTAATGGCGAGGAACAGGAAAGACACTCGTAACACTTGCAGTTAGTAGTCAATTAGACGGGGGTGCCAATAACCCTGCAGACAGAAATAAGATTCCGGATGACTCAGGCCCCACCGAAACCAGACGACACGCAGCGGGGAGACAGTGCAGGTATCTCCCCAGCGAGGCCGGTGCCAAGCGGGCCGGTGCGCAGACGGGGAGCTCGCCAACCACATGCGAGGCTGTGGGGCTGTCACAAAGCAAGTGACGCGCGCTCTTCTGTGTGAGTCATTGCTCAGACTCGGGAGCACTGTGTCACCACTTGTCATGCTGCTTATCTCCAAGACTGAGCGGTCTGACCTGCCCGCGCCCCTTCCTCCCTCAGGAAGGGGACCCCTTCACAGACAGCAAGACCCTGACTGGACAGCCAGGAATCAAGTGCCTGCCCTGTGCAGGCTGTGGGCTTTTTTTGTTTTTGTTTTTTGATTTTTAGAGAAAAAGGAAGGGAGAATGAGAGAGAGAGAAACATCAGTGAGAGAGAACATCAATTGGCCGCCTCCTGCATGCCCCCTCACTGGGGATCGGGCCCACAACCTGGGCATGTGTCCTGATCGGGAATCGAACCGGCGACCTCTTGGTGCATGAGTCGATGCTCAACCACTGAGCCACACCGGCTGGGCAAAGCCATGTTTCATTTAATCCTCACAAAAACTCCACGAGGCAGGTACAGATACAGACACCAAGGCTTAGGGAGCCTAAGTGACTTGTCTAAGAAGATACAGTCGGAAGCGGCGGAACTGGGCTCGCACCCAGGTTGTCTAACCCCGGAGGCTGTGTTCGAAACCACTACCGTGTGACGAGAACCAAAAGGCAGGTGCTCCCTTTGTGCAGATAATTTAATTGTCAGAAACCAGGGAGGTCTTAATAGACATCGGGGCCTGCTCTTTCATTCCTGCCCAATGAGAATATTCCACATGCAAGGCCGTCACATTTTGTAATGATGAGAGCTAACCTCTGCTGAGCACGTCCAGCACCCTGGGCATGCGATGAAGGGTTCACGTGTGCCCTCTGTCGTATTCATCACAGCCGTCCAGAGAGGTGGGTCCTGTCATCCCCGTTGTACAGTCCTTCACAGCAGTGAGATGACTTACTCAGTTTGCTCAGCTAAGAAGTCCTAGACCCGAGGTGGATACTCTTCCTCCGCCCTGTGCTTCTGACCAGTGCTTGACGAAGTGCATTTCTCTGCTGGGTAATAGTTACGTGGCTAACCATTGAACTATTTTAAAAACCAAGATCTCAAATGCTCCACCAAGCTTCTAGTATAGATTCTGTAGATTATAAGTCACCTGTGCCTCCCCAGAGCCTGTTGCAGGGTTTGGCACATGTTAAGCAACAAATACTTGTGGAGTAAATGGAAGAGGACCTACATAAATAAAGTTACATTGCTTACAGGGAGCTGTTCTGCCGATGTGGATTTGGAATTTTTTTGTTTTGTTTTGTTTTTAATGGCTAGGGGAGATGTTGGAGAACACCTGCTCTAAGTTTTCCAGGCTAAAATGATCACAGCTGTGCGTTATGGCAAAGTTATCGATTTATCTGTGCTGGCGTGGACCCAGAATTGGGGGGCAGGGGGCGGGGGGCGGGATTCATAGCCCCGACTAGACTTTGGGGCAGAGGTGTGGTGTGTCACTCCAGCTTGCCGTTCTCTCCCCGTCCTGTGCCCTCGTGGAATTAATGACCTCCGTGGGATTCATACTGGCCTTATTGAACTGTTATCCATTGGGTGGAATCCTGCGTGGCCCACGCTTTGTGCCCTGGGATGGCCTTCGTTACTGCTTTGCTATGCATACGTGCCATGTTTGAATTGGATTTTCCCTAGTCCCTCTGGTCCAGGGCTAATGTGCAGTCACCTGAGGGAAGTCTATGCCGAAAGGGAGGGTAGGTGGGTCCAGATTGTTGCATCCAAGATGCTAGAAACATGGTCCGAGCCTCAGACCTAGATCTGAGGCAAAGAGTTGAATTAGTGAATTTCTAATCGGAAAGGGACCTTTGAGGTCCCCTCCAGTGGACTTTGCTTCCCAGGCCCCACCACCGTTCAGCCAGCGCTACTCTGGGCTCTGCTCCATGGGGTAGGATGTGGGTAAGGTTTCCTTTTGAAAAAAGGGTTTCACTGCATAAAAGTTGGAAGGCCTTAGGCCTCTTCATTTCACAGATGTGAAAACTGAAGCCCAAAGAGTTCAGGGGCTGTGCCCACGGTCACACAACTCGCCAGCCACGCCCCCATTCATGCTTCTTCCACAATCCCAGGCTGACCCCTTGGCCCTGGGGTCAGGACTCCCATCCATGGGTTGGGTGAGGGAAAGGTCAGTGTGTGGAGGCTAAACCCTGGGGGCTCTGCTGATGCCTCTGCTCCTGGTGGACCACACCGGGGAGGCCCAGGGAGCAGAATCTGGGCCGGCCTGTAGGGACTTGTGCTGAGGAAAGAGGCCAGCCCAGGGAGGCCTTCTCTGTCCCAACGGTAATTAATGAGGAGCAGGCGGCTGGGCCAGCCAGCCCGCGCTGCCCTGCAATGCAGCGTTCTCAGCCTGCGTCCCGGAGAGCGTGAGAATCCTTTGTCATGCAGATCTCGCTGCCTGTCTGCCACCCTGGGATCTCCCCCCACCCTGTTCTATAGGGTTGACCCTGTGGCTAGACAAGAAAAAAAAAAAAAGTTATCTGACAATAGATCAATCCCTAGTTAAAGCCTGAGAGAAGGCATGAAAGGGGGGAGGAAAGATTTATAGTTGCCCTGGGAGGGCAGAAGGACTTGGGAGTTCTCAGTTGATAGTTTGTTTTTTCCTGGGAAATTACATCCCCCTTGAGACCAAGCATCGGTTATGGGGATCTCTTCTTTGAAGGATCTCGGTGAGCTGAGTAGCCTTGAGAGAGGTGGGGAGGGTACCTGTGGAGAAGGCGGACGGTGTTACAGGGCTCTCCATGCCCTGGGTGTCAGGTGCTCTGGTTCCTGGACCCTCCACCCCTATGGAACCTGCAGAATTGGGCCGTCTGCCTGTCCCTCCTTTCTCCGCCCTGGCAGCAGCTAATTGGCTCATGAGCCTGCAGGCATTTTCCAGGGTGATTTCTGCACACCCAGGCCAGCTACCTCTCATCCTCCAAGCCCAGGGCTCTACCTCCCAGTTATTTTTAGTCTCCCATGTCCTTCCCTCGAAGCCAAAGCATTGATCACACTTAAAGGAGACCAGAACAATACATTTCCCGTCTCTTCTCTGCCCAGCTTCCCTCCCAGGACAAAAGTTTGTCATCCCCTGGACCAAGAGTCTGTACCCTTCTTTCCCCCAGAGGGTATGACATCCTCTCTCTCTCTCTCTCTCTCTCTCTCTCTCTCTGGACTTTTCAAGGGCATTTTTTTTTTCTCCAAAGAAGCCCCTTTTGCTTTGGAAATCCTGTTGGCCTTTTGTGATTTCACTCGGCTGGAGGAAGGTTGGAGGTGATCTAAGCAGGTTTCTAGGTGCTTTTGAGCAGAGGGGTGATGGTGGAGGATGGAGGTTGACTTCTTTACCAGTTTGAGGAGTGCTGCTCTCAAGGCTAAGAGCACAGGCTTTGTGACCAGTGGACCTGGACTCGTGCGCAGGTTCTAGCTCTTCCCACCCGTGACTCTGGGCTCCGTCTCTTCGTCTCCACCCTGGGGCTTCTAGCACCTTCTCAAAGGGCTGTCTGGAGGGCTTGAGGGGAGAAGGTATGTCAAATGCTTGGCTGGTGTCCGGTGTCCGACACACAGTGCCCTGTAAGCGGTGACTGTTTCTGCAGCAAAAACTCCTGTCATTTTGGTTATTGCTCCAGAACCCTGAGGTGGCGCATTGGAAGGCAGAGACTGGATTGAGAGGCAGATGTTCGCCTACCTCTGCTGAGTCTTTGTTCCCGACTGTAAATGGAGAAGTTTAAATCAAATGGTTCTTTCAGCCACAAATTAATCTTTAGAGAGCTCCAAGGTGACGTGGGGATCAAGGGAGAAGAAAAGGGGCCTCGTGCTCTGGGGTCTCACCTCCAAGGCTGCAGCATCTGAGGGCCTGAGGTGGGGGTGGGGAGCTGCCTCCAGCATTCCTGAATTCTCGCTCTCTCTCTGCCCCAGGATCCTTGGCGGTGTCGGTGGCTGACATGACAGCGCCAGTGGTGGGCTCCTCTGGAGGGGTGTATGCGCTCGTCTCCGCCCATCTGGCCAACATCGTGATGGTGAGCACCTGGGGCCCCAGCAGGCCTTTGGTGGCCTTCCCTCAGCTGTCTCTAGGTCCAGGTGTTAATGGGCTGGAGCTGGGTTTTGGATCCTCATCCATGCTCCAGCCCAGGGCCAGCAAGTGCCGGGCAGACCTGGCTGGTAGCAGAGCTGACAGACCTCACTCTCTGCAGGCTCCTTGCAAACGGCCCCTCCATATACCATTCATATTTTCTCCAGTCATGGTTTTGTCTAGTAATCGACCTATCTCCCCATTCCACCTCTTTTCACTCGGTGACTTTAAAAAGTGTTAAGATTCTCGCCTGGCCGGTGTGGCTCAGGGGCTGAGCCTCGACCCATGCATGCACCAAGAGGTCTCCGGTTTGATTCCTGGTCAGGGCACATGCCCAGGTTGGGGGCCCGATCCCCAATGGGGGGCACGCAGGAGGCGACCAATCTATGTTCTCTCTCATCAGTGTTTCTATCTCTCTCTCCCTTTCCCTTCCTCTCTCTCTAAATAAAAAAAAAAAAATTTTTTTAAACAACAACAACAACAAAAAGTGTTAAGATTCTTGACCACTAGTATGCATCCTAATTGTAATTTGTTGTTTGTCATAGATTGTTAAACATTAAGGGACCTTAGAGATCATCGCATCGAAATTCTCAAAAAGAAGGCTCTTATATTTTCATGACAAAAAATTATGAAGCTAATACTTTTTTAAAACTAAAAAGTTAGTAAATAAATATGATTTAATTAAAAAAAAAAAAAAAAAAAAGAAGGCTCTGAGCCCAGCCAGTGTGGCTCAGTGGGTTGAGTGTCGTCCCATGGATCCCGGTTCAATTCCCAGTCAGGGCACATGTCCTGGTTACAGGTTTGATTCCTGGTCAGGGTGCATAAGGGAGGCAACCAATTGATGGTCCTCTCTCTCTCACATTGATGTTTCTCTCTCTCTCTCCCTTCCTTTGTCTCTAAAATCAATCAAAACATATTTTTAAAAGAAAGAAATCTCTGCGATATTAAGTGATTTGTCCAAAGTCACAGGCAGCTTTGTGGCAAAATTGGGACTTGAAACCACATCTCCTGAAAACCATTCAAGTGTTGTTCCCTACGTCACCCTGTCACATTGACGGAACACGGCCACTGCGTTCCTCACGCTCTTCGTTTTCCCGAAAGGCCGAGAGTTTCCTGATCAACATCCTGGGCGATGGAGCCAATCAGCCTAGATCTGAGTCCCAGCCACTTACTTCCTCAAGAATGACCTTGGACAAATGACTTAACTGCTTTGTACCTCTGTTTCTGCATCTGCGAAATGGGATGATATGTGAGATAAAGTGAAAACAACCACTCAGTATACGTGTTAGCTGAATTCCCTGATCCTCACAGAAGAGACCAGGGCAGAAATTAGAGTCTATCTGATAGTTTCAGGGGAGTCCGAGGGAGACTGCTCCCTTGTTTGGGAAGTAGTCTGAAGTCTGGAGGCCGAAGGAGGGGTCGCCGGCAGTGCTTGGCTAACCCTGGCTCACGCCCCTGCTGGCCTGGGAGCCTCTAGGCAGGTCCCCGATCTTACTCACCTGTGTCCCAGTGCTTGGGACAGGGCTGGACGCAGGGTAATAATGCCATTGATTTTGGCGAACGAGGAAGGAATGAGTGCATGAACAATGTCCAGAAAAGGCACAGCTTCTCTTTGGGGTCCTCCAGCCCTTGCCTCCCTCCTCCATCACTGTCCCCACCAAGTGGCAGGTGTGTGAATAGTCAGTGACAACAGCTTTTGAAGTTCCCAAATTCCCCCATTTCCTCTTTGTTGTTGCCGCTCTCGGGGCCCCACTCCTCGATGCCATCCCTTTTCTCTTCACCCAAGACACACAGACACTGACTAGACTTGCTACTCGCTTGAGTTTTGACAACTTCAGGTGAGCACCGGGGGAACTGCAGCAGGCTTGGGGAAGCCTGTGCGAGCGCGCGTGTGAAACACACACACGCACACACACACACACAGCTTGGTCTGCCAGGAGCCTGGGAGCATGGCGCTGCCTCACACGGCCCTCTTAAATGGGTCATTCTGTATCAGTACTACCGCTTTCCCCAGACGCAGCTTTTCCTCTGAATTCCGCCTCCTCCACTCCCCCTCCCCCTGCCCCAGTTCCTTCTGTAGGGGAAGGAAATGCCCCCCCCAGATGTGTCCGTATGTAAGGGGATGAACAAACACAGCTAAGAGAACATGGGAAAGAAGACACACACGGGTTCATAAAGATGCCCGGTTCCTGCCCCCTTCCCCCACCGCCTGGGAAACAGCCCTGATGCCCCACAAGCTCCAGTGGAGAGGGCAGAGTACCCCGAGAACCCAGGGGTCAAGGAGGGAGGTGTGAAAGCCATTTAGTTCCAGCTTAGGCTGCTTTCTGGCAAGTAGCCCGTGCCTGTGGCGGACACGGCTCTCCCTGGCCTCCGGCAGCTTTGCGGTCCCCAGAGCATGACCCACCATGGCCTTTCCCTAGAAGGCTGTGTGGTGCTTATTTGACAGTGAAAGAAAAAAAAATCTCATTTTCTCATTTAAAAAGCTTGGTTTCCTTTCATCAAGAGGCCACCTTTACCCAAATTATCTCAGTGCCCAGCAACTCAGAGATGTGTTGGGCCCCACTATATGAAATTGCCATTTCTGTGGATCAGAAGCACTTAAACATAGGCAATTTCATGAGGTCCAACCGTATCAATGCACTGTTGACTTTAATTCCAAAATGAAGAGTGCTCAGTGTATGTGTCTAAAACACCTTGTCAGAACAGAGAGGAGGAAAAGCCTGGACTTGACAGACAGGAAATCTGGATTTGAGTATGAGCATCACCATTGTAATAGCTGTGAGTTCCTTCACTTTTTTGTTTTTGCTGATGTTTAATCCTCACCCAAAGATATCCTTCCATTGATTTTTAGAGAGTGGAAGGGAGGGAGGGAGAGAGAGAGAGAGAAGAATCGATGTGAGAGGGACACATTGACTGGTTGCCTCCCGCATGACCCTAATCTGTGCTGGGGACCTAACCTGCCACTCGGGTACATGCCCTTGATGGGACTTGAACCCAAGACCCTTCAGTCCACAGGCCGATGGGCAAGTTCCTTAACTTCTTACGGCCTCAGTTTTCTCACCTGCAATCCCTTCTTCACAAGGTAGACAAAGACATGAAAAAGTGGATGAGAAAACGCTTTCCATATGACAACACCAAACGGCTGGGGCATTCTGTATGTGTCTGCATATGTGTGGGTTTATGTGTATATTTGTTTATATATATATATATATATTTGTATACACATACTTTTTTTTTTTTAATCCTCACCTGAGGATATTTTTTTATTTATCAGATAGAGTGGGAAGGAGGGAGAGAGTCAGGGAGAGAGAGAAACATTGACGTGAAAGGGACAATCGACTGGTCGCCTCCCAAATGACCCTGACCAGGGCCAGGGATGAACCACAACAGAGGTATGTGCCCTTGACCAGAATCAAACCCTCAACTCATTGGTCCACGGACCGATGCTCTAATCACTGAGCAAACCGGCCAGGTTACTTCTTTTTTATAATCCTCACCTGAGGACATTTTTGCATTTATCTTCAGATAGAGCAGGAGGGAGAGAGAAACATCGATGTGAGAGAGACACATCAAGTGGTCGCCACCCACATGACCCCAACCAGGGCCGGGGACAAACTGCAACCGAGGTACATGCCCTTAGTGGGAACCGAACCCGAGACACTCTGGTCCACGGGCCAACGCTCTAACCGCTGAGCCAAACCAGCCAAGGCAAAGGCTACTTTTTTTATCTTTATAAATTCTGCCTGATATCTGTACAGAGGGAAATCAGAAAATGTGTCCTTTTTGCTCTAGATACATAATAGAAAATTGTTTGACCCTCATGTTCTTAGGACTACCTGTTTAAGTGAGAGATTCTGCCTTAAATCAAATTATACTTTATTTTTCATAGAAACAATTTGAGTTTCAAAAAGCTTGCCATTTACTTCCAGGGACTAAATTCAGAAACTATTTCAACAAAATATCTGGATAGCATAAAAGATCTACAATCAAGACTTCTTATTTTAAACACTGGCAGTATAAAGATACACATAATTGCCCTGGCCAGTTTGGCTCAGCGGTTAGAGCATCAGCCTGCAGTCCAGAGAGACCCGGGTTTGGTTCCCGCTAAGGGCACGTACCTCGGTTGCAGTTTGTCCCCAGCCCTGGTTGGGTCATGCGGGTGGCAACCACTCGATGTGTCCTTTTTGCATCGATGTTTCTCTCTCTCTCTCTTCCACTCTATCTGAAAAAAATATGGGGAAATGTCCTCGGGTGAGGATTAAAAAAAAAAAAGATACACATAATTGAATAGTTTAATTGCCTTTTGCTGGGGCCCCAAGGCCAGATTTTCATTCTTAAATATGTCAGATACTTACACTTTGCTCCATGTGATAGCTGTTTCCCTTAAAGGTGGGAGATCTGAATTTTCACAAATAGAACCATATTGTCAAAGCACAAGGCAAGATTGTTGTCTAAATGACACAAAAAATTTCTGTTATAAGGCTCACTTTATTAAGTAAAATCCTTTTATAGGACAAATAATCATTCTCTTATTCATCTGTGTCATGTTTTCTTGTTTCCTGTGTTGCGTTTTCTTTCTTTCTTTTTAAATTTTTTTTTTTTATCCTCACCCAAGGACATCTTTGCATATATCTTCAGATAGAGCAGGAGGGAGAAAGGGAGGAAGAGAGAGAGAGAAACATCGATGTGAGAGAGACACATCGAGTGGCTGCCACCCACACAACCCCAACAGGGGCCGGGGACAAACTGCAATTGAGATACGCGCCCTTAGCGAGAACTGAACCCAGGACACTCTGGTCCGTGGGGCCAACGCTGTAACCGCTGAGCCAAACTGGCCAGGGCCTTTTTTAATATTTTTAATTGATTTCAGAGAGAGGAGGAGAGAGGGAGAGAGAGAAACATCAATGTGAGAGAGAACCATGGAGATTGAATCTGAAACTTGAGTAT